CCAAAATAAAAAACTGTATAATAAATTATAAAAGAAAATTTACCAATGCCAAGTCTTAACGAAAAGCGTTTCTTGCTGCTGGAGTTGTTCCTGGCGAACTTTCTCAACTGCTCGTAAGATTTTTTGTTGTCCGAGTAAATATTGGAGTTTGCAAGGCAGATAGGGGTTTTGGGGTTCACCAAATTCAGTGTGGGGATTAGGAGAAATTTCCTCCCGCACCAAAAAATTAATCTTAGCCGGTGGTAAATCGAGAGAGTTGAGCAATGCTTTAGCCGCAAGCGAATACTTATATTCTTGGGTTAGGGGAGCCAAAGTTTGCAGAAGGTGTTTTTGTTCCGGCTCAAACCTAAAAGCCTTTAGTCCTTCTGGATAAGAGCGAGTAAGTAAAACGGCTTTTTGTTCGGTAGTCAAAGTGATTTTTTGGCAACCGAAATGAATCAGATTATTTTTTTGCTGCTCTTGTACTTGTCAATTAGAAGCATTAAAAAGGCTAACGCCCATCTGTTCTAGCGAGCCCTTTTGTTCTTTACTTAGCTCAAGAGTTTCTAACAGCAAACGCAGAATAGCTTCCTTTTGTGGGAGAGTGGGTTGTCAGTTCTTTTTTTCTTCGTGGAGCTGATGATTTAAATTCAAAAAAATTAACTTTTTCTCGTAAGTATTAATTTCGCAAGCATTTAAACCCGCATTAAGTAAACGCAGTTTGATTTCATCTGCCAGCAGCGGGTATTTCTCCCGTAGGATTTTTCTTTCTTGGGTAGTCAAACTCTTTACTTGGTCACAAATAGCTAACTGTTGTTCCTCGGTTAAAAGCAACTGAGTTAAAAGCTGTTGTTCTTCTTCCGAGACGGGGGGAGTAAATTTCTTAGTGGCCTCGTGATAGACGTGAGTTTCTCAATCGGGATGGTCCGGCTTAATCCGAGTCTGTTCCTCTAAGTTCTTAATCTCCCGTTCTCATAACTCTTGACTGCGAGCCAATTTGTCTAAAAACTTGCTGACTGGATCTTCCTCTTTTTTCAATATTTTCTCGGCAATCTGTTTTAATTCCTGTAAGAACAGCGAACGTTTTTCAAATTCCGGATATTTTTGCTTAATTTTTTCCCAAGTCATTCGTTGCGGAAGATTGTTCAAATCAGTTTGGGCTTTACTCAAATTCTCGGCGACCAATTGTTGTTTCATCCTATTTATTTGAGCTAAACGTTCTTTTTGGCGTTTAATTGCAGCAGCCTTGCTTTGTTCTTGCCGGGCTTGGAAGTTTTTCGCCCCCTTCGCAATTTGTTGTTCTAACTGAGCAACTTGTTGAGTAGTGCGGCTATCTTGCCACCACGTGTAACCCCAAATACTAAGGATGATAGCGTTAAAGCCGGCTATGGCGGCTCATTTGTGTTCTTTCTTTTCCACCACCGAGTAAGCTAAAGCATTACCAATTATGTAACCAATTAG